CGCTAATGATGTTTTGTTGACTTATAACGATGTTTTGATGACTTTTGACGTACTCTTATTTTGACGAACTTATCTTTTGACGAACTTTTGAGAAATTTATGTTTTCAGTAACCGAACGATTTTATTAAAAATTAAAATAACGATTTTTCAAGTAAGTCACGATTTTAAGGTAGCACCCCTAATCAGTTTTCGCAAAGTAGAAAGGTTTTATTTTTAAATAACTTTGCGAATTTTTGCGCACTCTGATTTACGATAAAGAGGGGTGTTACACGTTGATTATTTTTTCCCTTTTGTCCCTATTTACTCGTATTTTCCTTAACTACTTTAAATGTATACGATTTTTCTTCAAAACGCGATGAGACACGAAATATATGTTATCCACATCAAATAATGGTGTCGTGTTCGAACACAAGTCTTTCCAGAGACGTTGATTAATTTTTCCCTTTTGTCTAGTTTACTCGTATTTTTCTTGACTTCTTTAAATGTATACGATTTTTCTTGAAAACGCGATGGGGCACGAAATATATGTTATCCACATCAAATAATGGTGTCGCGTTCGAAAACAAGTCTTTTCGGAGACGTTGATTATTTTTTTCCTTTTATCCCTATTTACTCGTATTTTCCTTGACTACTTTAAATGTTTACGATTTTGCTTCAAAACGCGATGGGGCAAGAAATATATGTTATCCACATCAAATAATGATGCCATGTTCGAATACTAGCCTTTCCGGAGGCGTTGATTATTTTTTCCCTTTTGTCCCTATTTACTCGTATTTTCCTTGACTTCTTTAAATTTATATGATTTTGCTTCAAAACGCGATAGGGCACGAAATATATGTTATCCACATCAAATAATGGTGCCGTGTTCGAAAACAAGTCTTTCCAGAGAGGTTGATTATTTTTTCCCTTTTGTCCCTATTTACTCGTATTTTCCTTTACATCTTTAAATGTAAATGATTTTGCTTCAAAACGCGATGGGTCACGAAATATATGTTATCCACATCAAATAATGGTTCCGTGTTCGAAAACAAGTCTTTCCGGAGAGGTTGATTATTTTTTCCCTTTTGTACCTATTTACTCATATTTTCCTTTACATCTTTAAATGTATACGATTTTGCTTCAAAACGCTATGGGGCACGAAATATATGTTATCCACATCAAATAATGATGTTGTGTTCGAACACAAGTCTTTCCGGAGACGCTGATTATTTTTTCCCTTTTGTCTCTATTTACTCGTATTTTCCTTGAAGTAGATGCAAGTTTCCGGAGGGGTGATTGCCAAGTCCAGGTGCAGCCAACTGCTCAAGTTTCAGCACAACCACCAGTGCAGCCCATGCCTATTCAGCAGGCTAAAGATAAGAACAAGAGGAAGTGGAAAGGTCCCCAGAATAATAACAAGCAGAAGCAGCAAGCTAACCGACCACAATTTCCAGCTTGTGGCAAATGTGGACGTAGTCATCCAGGAGAATGTTTAGCAAGGCAGAATATTTGCTTTTTCTGTCGGAAACCTGGTCATAATCTCAAGGAATGTCCAGATAGGCAGCAGCAGAGGAATCAGGGGCAGCCTCAGCAACAGAGGGCAGGACCTCAAGCTCAAGTGTATGCTGTGGAGCAAGTTCAGGCAGAATAGAACCCAGGTACTATGTCTGGGATGATTATTCTGAACGATATTCCTATTTTTGCATTGTTTGATACGGGAGCGACGCATTCGTTCGTGTCAAAACGATGTATAGAAATCATAGGAGCTAAATCCATTAACACTGTTGACCCTCTTGAGGTAAGCTTAGCCTCAGGACGGAAAATAGTGACGAGTTCTAAGGCAGATAACCTTAGACTCAATATTGGAGGAAAAATCTTGGAGGTCGGCACGTACGTCATCGAGATGAGGGATTTTGACCTCATACTCGGTATGGATTGGCTAACACGTTACCGTGCTGATATTCGTTGTCATGACCGAGAGGTAATTCTTTATCTTTCGGAGGAGGATCAAATTTCTTTTTACGGCTCGAAGACGTGAACGTTGCCTCGGGTGATTTCTATGGCGAAGGCAAGGAAGATTATAAGACGGAAGGATTGTCAAGGATATTTGGTGAGCATTGTTGACGAAAATTCGAGAGCACAAACACCTCATGATGTTCCAATTGTTCGTGAGTTTGTGGATGTGTTCCCGGACCAACTACCAGGAAGACCACCCAACAGGCAAGTGGAGTTCACAATCGATCTTGTTCCTGGAGCAGCGCCTGTGTCAAAGGCACCATATCGGATGGCACCAAAAGAATTACAAGAGTTAAAAACTCAAATTCAAGAGTTGTTGAAACCTGGTTTCATTAGACCAAGTGTTTCGCCTTGGGGAGCACCTGTATTGTTTGTCAAGAAGAAGGATGGTTCCATGAGGATGTGTATCGATTATCGGGATTTAAACCGGTTAAC